GGGTGCCCGGCAAGGGGCTGGGTGCAGGGGGTCCTGGGCTGCTTCTGGACACAGACCTGGTGGGATCTCACTCACTGTGTGTCCCCTGGTCAGTGCCTGTGGCTCCTCCATCAAACTCTGCCCTGAGCTCCTTGGGGCTTGGCTGGTCCCTGCCCTGCAGCTCTTGCTGGGCTCTGACGTTTGTGGATGTGAAGGATGCAATGTAAGCAATGCCTCCTACCCACCTCAGCCCCCCAGGCGTGGGGCATGCCCATCCCCTGCTCCTGACCTCTCACTGGCTCCAAACTGACACCATATGGGGGCATCTGGGTCCCAGGCTGTTGTGTTGGTACTGCATTCCCTGCAGAGATCGGGTCCTGTGGGAGACGGGGACACAACGGGAGGCAGCAGGTCTTGGTGCTGCTGCTGTGCCCAGGTGGTCCCTGGGGGAGGTGGGCGTGTCTGATCTGCACCCACCTCTGCACTGGGCTGCTGCACCTGGTTTGTCCCAAACACCCTGGTCAGCGCCTGTTTTTTCTCCCACTTTTGTCTTTTCAGCACCTGGAAAAATCGACTGGGGGTGCCAGGGAGCTCCAGGTGTGAACATATCCCACCCAAACCGCCTCGGTGCAGACATGGGCCTGGGACACCTCATCCAGCCAGGGATTGGCGTTGCCCCGCTAGTGACCAGGCCATGGAGCGTCCATAAGTGTCCCCCACCTGCAGCTCCCGCAGAGCTCTCTGCAGCTGCGCCAGCACTCTGCGCTGCTCGGGGCGGCCCGCTGCCTCCTGCAGCTCTGTGTGCAGCAGCTCTGTCCGCAGCCCTCGGATCTTCTCCCTCCGCGCTGCCACCTCCCGCACAGGGTCCCAGTGTGTGGGTGACACCGATTTGTTCGCCCCCTTCACCTGCTCAGCCAGCGCCAGGGCTGCCCGGATCTGCTCTCTGGGGGTGTCTGCGGGAGCAGTGAGCCCTGGGTGCCTGGGCAGCGGCCGCGCCGTGTCCCTGGGCTGGCGCAGCACGGCTGCCAGGGGGGACCTCGTGGTCCCAGCGCTACCTGGCAGCGTCACACACAGCAGCAGGAAGGTGAGGCTGTTGCCCTCCAGCAGCCGCTCCACAATCCAGGGCAGGGCGCCCGTGCCTGGTTCTTGGAGCATGGGATGGGGAACCCTGCTGAGAGACACCCACGGGAGGGATGGGTGCACGGAGCTGGGCGTGCGATGGCAGGAGCGGGCTGAGCTGCAGCTCCCACACGTACAGCTCAGGACAGGCTCCTGGGGATGCCAGAATGCGCAGAGCTGAGCGCTGATGCCTGCCGCCCTCCAGCTGCTGCTCCACAGTGAGGGTGAAGAGGCTGCAGGCCCTGGGGAGAAGCGGGGATGAGCAGCAGTGCGTGGTGCTGGGACCCCCACCAGGGGCATCAGCCGAGCCCACCCACCCCTGTGTGGCTGAGGGTCCAGCAGCTGGAGCAGCCCCTAGCCCCCACGTGTAGATGCTGATGGCAGTTTGGGCATTGGACACAGCGACCTCCATCGCCTCCTCCACCATTCTAGAAGCAGAGAGATGAGAATGAACACTGAGAACCATGTCCTTCCACCTCTGCTTGCCCTGGCTCCTCGACCAGGCCCATCCCCACGATGGGTGTTGGGGTGCCAGCTCCTGGGGTCCAGCTACCTACAGGCCCAGGGGTGTGATGTCCATCACGTGCAGGGCTCTGCCATCGGGACGGAGCAGGTCCCAGGCTTCACCCTCAGCGCAGACCTGGGATGGGACAGTGCTATATGGAGGCCAGAAGGAGGGGGCTGCTGGTAACCTGCACCCACTGGGGCCCCAGGCTGCTTGTGTCCATGCATGGGCTGGGAAGGGAGTGCATTGAGGTTGCTTCCAGCACCAGGCCAGGCAAAACCAAAGCCCTGAGAACCACAAGGGGCCGTGCGGGGCTCGTGCACAGGCTTCCCACTTCTGGAGAGCCCAGGGGTGAGAAAACTGAGTTGCAAAGGCCGCATCATTTGGAACTGGCAGCAGAATGGGGAACCTTGCCCAGAGCGTCCTGTCCTGGCCAGCCCTGCTGCCATCGTACCTGGACCAGGCTGACTGTGTGCAGGCGTTGTGCGTTGCTCCCTGACACTTCCAGCTCTTGAAAGACGATGTTGATCACCTGAAGACAAGCTGGGAGCTGCTGGTTCTCAGCAGGCGTGGCTGTGTCCCACACCTGTACCAGCAGGCTGGGACCCTGGAGTCCAGCAAGGTGACTTCTCTGCAGCCATTCCCCATGCCCTCACCTGCCAGATGATGTCCTGCAGTGGCAGCTGGCTCCCAGGGCCATTTGGGTCCCACAGCATCAGAGACACACTGTAGCCAAGGGGCAGCAGAGCCAGCTGGGGTCTTGCCAATTCCAAGACCTTCTCCTGGTAGAAGAGATGTATGTAGCTGAGGAGGAGTGGTATGGAACAACCAGAACAGTGCAGATGGCCCAGCACAGGGGTCGCTGGCATGGAGCAGATGGCACAGCAAAGGTGAGATGGCATGGGACAGGATGGATGGCAGAGACAGCATGGCACAGCACGGAGCCACAACCCAACACCAAGAGGAAACAGGGAGGGATGAGAAACAGCAGCAGAGACATTTGAAGGACGAGCTCCAGGACCTGAGCACACCCAAGGAGCTGGCAGTGGTCACCAGCACTGCTCAGAGAGGAGCCTGATGGCAGCCATGTGTCCCTGGCTCATCTGGCTGGGCACAGCGCTGCAGAAGGACGTGGGGCCCGTGGTACCTGTCCTGCATCCAAGTGAAAGATGTCATCGACAGTCAGGCAGCTCTCCTGGCATGATGGAGTGAAGGTAAAGATATTCAGCTTCCCCCAGTATGACCAGTGCAGGACAAAGGAAGGACTGGGCACACTGGGCTGCAAAGTCAGTGTGGCACAGAGGAAGGGTGAGACTCCCATCCTTCCCTGCTCCCATCTGAGGCCCAGGAACTTTTGTCCCCTCAGTGTCCCCACCCCTGCCGCTCTCACCTGGATCTCCTTCTCTGCAAGAAGCAGCTGCAGGGGGTCTCCACTGCCAGCTGCCCAGCTCTGCCCTGAAAACATCGAGCATGGAGAGGGGCCACCCCACTGCCCCAGTTTTACCCCCAGCAGCCAGGGGCCCAGGTTCGAGGGGCCATTTTCCCCGAGCCCTCTCACAGTGACCACAGTGCCCAAAGCCACCACGTGGGTGAAGGGGAGGAAGCGCTCGCCCCACCGCCGCAACAACCCCCAGCCCAGCTGCTGCTCCCAGCCCACCTGCTGCCTGCTGCAGTCCCACGGCTGCTCGTACGCACACCTCCTGCTCAGCTGGCGGGGACACACGCATGGCAGCAGGGACACGATCCGGCTCCTGCCCCGAGCACCACCGGCAGCCAGGTCAGCCACCCCAAAACCAGGGGACAGTCCCCCCAAGGCGTCTGCAATGTGCCCCGCTCACCTCCTCACCGTTCATGGCTCAGCACCCAGCGCAGGGCAGGATGGGGATCGTGTTCCTGTGCATTATTGATGGTGATCGGGCACAGCCGTGTGCACACAGCCGGGCATGGGATGAGGCACCTCGGATGTTATCTGGGGATGAGAAGCAGCCACAGCCCACAGGTTCATGTCTCCTGGAGACCGACTGTACCCAGAGCACCCAGATGGAGCTGGGGCGCTCTGTTCAGTGCCAATACAGGCTGAGGGGGCAGGAGAGGGGTCCCAGACTCTGCCCTTGGCACTAAGGTGGGAGCAGGCACACATGCCTCTATCTGCCACCACTCCCTGTAGGACCAGGTGACACAGCTGCTCCTGTCCCTGAGCCAACCCCAAAGTCCGGAGTGATGGGATGTGAGCCATTGGGTGTAGATGGGGAAACAGCCCTGTGGGTTTACTAAGAGCAGAGAGGTGCTGATAAGGGTCAGTGAATTCCAGTACATGGGGACTTCCCTTCCTGCTCTGCTGGGCGGAGGTGCTGCTCCCAGTTCCCAGAACAAACCCCAAGGTGCAAACACGGACCCTGTACACACCCAGTGTACTGGACCAGTTGAAGGTCAGACAGGGGATCAGGCCCAGTCAGCGTGGGCTTATGAATGGTAGAACCTGTTTGACAAACCTGACTTTGTTCTGTGACAAGGTGCCCCGCTTAGTGGATGAAGATGAGGCTGTCGATGCGGTCTACCTGGAGTTCAGTAAAGCCTTTGACACTGTTCCCCACAGCATCCTCATGGGAAAGCTGGCTGCCCATGGTCTGGATGGGCGCATGCTGTGCTGGGTGAAACACTGGCTGGATGGCCGGGCCCAAGGAGTTGTGGTCAGTGGAGTTAAATCCAATTGGCAACCAGTCATGAGCGGTGTGCCCCAGGGCTCGGTACTGGGGCTGCTTCTGTTTAACATCTTTATTAACCATCTTGATTAGGGGATTGCGTGCTCGCTCAGTAAGTTCATGGACGACACCAAGTTTGGAGGGAGTGTGATCTGCCTGAGGGGAGAAAGGCACTACAGAGTGGCCTGGATAGACTGGGTCGAGGTAAACAGTATCAGTTTCAATAGGGCCAAGTGTTGGGTCCTGCATTTTGGTCACAACAACCCCAGGCAACCCTACAGGCCTGGGGAGGAGTGGCTGAAAAGCTGCCTGATGGAAAGGGACCTTGGTGTGCAGATGGACAGTGGGCTGAATATGAGCCAGCAGTGTGCCCAGGTGGCCAAGGCCAGTGGCGTCCTGGCTTGGATCAGGAATGGAGTGGTGAGCAGGACCAGGGAAGTCATCCTGCCCTGCACTCGGCACTGGTGAGGCCTCACCTCCAGTGCTGCGTTCAGCTTTGGGCACCTCAGTACAGAAAGGACATGGAGGTGCTGGAGCAGGTCCAGAGAAGGGCAACAAGGCTGGGGAAGGGATTGGAGAATATGGCCTGTGAGAGAGACTGAAAGAACTGGGGCCGTTTGGTCTGGGGAAGAGGAGGATGAGAGGAGACCTTATTGCTCCCTTGCAATATCTGAAAGGTGATTGCAGCAGAGCGGGGTTGGTCTCTTCTCGCTGGTGGCAGGCGACAGGACGAGGGGAAATGGCCTCAAGTTGTGCCAGGGGAGGTTTAGCTTGGATATCAGGACAAACTTATTTACGGAAAGGGTAGTTAAGCACTGGAATAGGCTCCCCGGGGAGGTGGTTGAGTCACCATCTTTGAATGCGTTCAACAATCATCTGCATGTGGTGCTCAGGGACATGACCTAGCGGAGCACTGTAAGCGTTCGGGTAGCAAGGTGAGGTTGCGATTGGACTCGATCTCAAGGGGTCTTTTCCAACCTTAATGCTTCTAAGAGGATTTTCAAAGCTCGTGTTGGAAAGCCACCACCGCTGCAGGACGGCGCTGGGTGCAGTCCCACTCCACAGCATCCTCCTGTCTCCCCTGGCCACACAACCACCTGGGCCGTGCCCTCCGCGCCCACAGCAGCCCGCCAGCCACGGCCACGCAGAGCAGCGCCAGGCCGGTGCAGACAGGAGCCAGCACGGCAGCGGGGCTGCAGCGCAGCAGGGAGGCGGGCACGTCCCGCAGCAGCACGCCCCGGTAGCGGGCAGGCGCGTGGCACACGTAGCCCTGCGGCCAGCCCTGCCCCAGGCACCCCGCGGCCGCCAGCGCCTGCACGGCCCCAGCCCCATGGCAGGTGCAGTTGAAGGGGTTTCCGGCCGCGGCCACATCTCGCAGGCGCTCCAGCAGCTGCACCTCGTCCCGCGGCAGCTCCGCGATCAGGTTGTCGTCCAGGTGCAGGGTGTGCAGCGCGGGGCAGCCACGGATGGACGGCACGGCCGGCAGAGCGTTGCGGCTGAGGAGGAGCGCCTGCAGGGAGCGCAGGGAGATGTCCGCAGCGTGGAGGCGGTTGGAGCTCAGGTCCAGCACCTCCAGAGCGGGGGGCAGAGGTGTGAGCACTTCGTCCAAGCCGGCGTTGGACAAGTTAAGGACGCGGAGGGTCGCCGGCCACTGGCAGGAGGACGAAGGCGCGCCGGCGCTGAGCGCGTTGTGGCTGAGATCCAGGTGCCGCAGCTCGCCCAGCAGCCGCACGCCGCCACACACAGCGTGGTACGACGTCAGGTGGTTGTGCCGCAGGCTCAGCACCTGCAGCTGCGTGAAGGCCCCCCGGCAGAAGGCGGGCGCCAGGCCGTCGTCCCCCAGGCTGTTATGCGCCAGGTCCAGCGAGCGCAGGGCCCGCAGCGCCCGGCCCACGGCGCAGGGCAGCACGGCCAGGTGTGAGGCGGTGACCGACAGCTCCTGCAGGGCTCCCAGCCAGCGGCTGAGCGGGGACAGGTCCTGCTCGCGGCCCTCCAGCGCGGCGGCCGTCACGTTGTGGAAGTGCAGTGACATGATAGGCAAGGCCCGGCCCGCCATGTCCGCCCAGCTGCTCCTCCCCACGAAGCTGCAGCTCTCGAACGCCATCTCCTGCACCCGAGTGTAGGAGAAGAACCGCAGGACGCGGGCCAGGAGGACCTCGGGAACCAGAAGGTCCGAAAAAACGATCTTCCTGATTTCCAGGCTGCCAAGCATGTCAATGGTGGAGTCGTCCAGGTCCTTGATGGGGAAGTCAGCGTATTTCTCCAGGTCTCCCCCCTGGAACTCCACGGTGGAGGCGGCGAGGCACTGGATGACGCTCCCGGCGCTCTGCTCGGTCAGCCTGTAGCACAGGCAGTACTCCTGCGTGCGGTTGAAGACGCACCGGCCCTCGGCCTGCTGCAGCCCCAGCACCAGGAGCAGCAGAGCAGCCTCACGCATGGCGAGCAGCCTGGGAAGGAGATGGCGGTGAGCGGGCGGCCATGGTACCGCGGCCAATGGGTCCTGCAGAGCAGCCCCGACAGAGCCCACGCTGCCCTCACCTCCCCTCCTGCAGCCGGTGGGTGCAATCAGCGGCACAACGCCCTGCCTGCTCCACCTGTGCCACCGCTCCTACGTGGCACTGCTCTGAGCCCAAAAGGAGATCTCAGCGGGAGCAGGGCTGGAGATGGGGCACACTGCCGCTGGCTGCTGCCCACAGCCAGCAGGGAAACATCACGGATTTGGAGAAGTGAGAGGTGCTGAGCAATGCACAGCAGAGCCAGAGCTGCTGGTTTGAGCAAAGGACGGGGCAGCCACAGCTCTGTTTGTTTCCGTGCAATCTGGGGCAGGAAATTGCAAAAGAGGGCCTCATATTTTCCTTCTGATCCAGGGATCTTATTCATTACCAGCCCCAAGGGGAGAGCAGAAAATCATTTCTGAGGATGTCCGTACACCCCCGCCGGCACCACGTACCGTTCTGCTGCCCGAATAACTGCAGGCTCTTAGCGGGGTCAGAAATCAAAAGTACTCCGGAGCTCCCAAGTACGCACTGACTCAGCTCCGCCGAAGGGTGGTGTGAAGGAGCCGGGGGGGCTCCGCTCCAGCTCTCCGCCCGCCCCAGCCCAGCGCAGCCCCAGCCCTTACCGCGAGCCTCACAAATCCCAGGGGTCGGAGCTCACCCCGCGCCCACCGTGCGGGGATCCTCGCGTCCGGCCGCGCCCACCTCTCCCCCCCGACCGCAGGTGAGCCGCGCTGTGTCTCACCGGGCAGCTCCGGCACGGCTTTCCGCGCCCCGCCGTGCTTCCTCCAGCTGCTGCCAAGATTCGACAGCGGTGCCAAAAGCTCCGCGCCCGCTGCTCCCCTGCCTCCAGCTCAGCGCAGCGGCACCGCAGGTGCCTCCCAACCCCGCCGGCACTTTTTAGCCTCCGTCCTACCCCGCTTTGTTTTAGCGGCACCTCCCGCCCGCTCGACGCAGCAGGCTGACAGCACCGCCCGTGCTGCGAGGCTCTCCGTCCCGACCGCTTCCTGAGTGGGACGGGGCCGCTGTGCCATGGGAAGCAGCGGGCGAGCACTTCTGCTTCGCGTGCCTCCGCCGAGGGCTGCCCCGACGTGCGCACCTCTGGGCCCCCCGTGTGCGTGCCGCACCCCACGCGGGACGGGAACGGCCGCCGCACCGAGAGAAAGCTCGCCGAGCTTCATCTCCCCGCAGCTCCACTGGAGCCCCGCGCTGCTTTCACTTCTATCCCGCGACGCCCCTTCCCCGCTCACAGCAAAGCGCTGAGGGCGGTGAGGCGCAGAGAGGCGGCGGCGCCCCGTCCGTGCAGGCAGCCAAGGTCTGGCTGGATGGGCTGCGAGCACGGATGGGTGCGGGTGTCGCTGTGCTCTGCAGGGGCTGGGACTGCACGGCCTTCGGGGGTCCCTTCCACACAAACAGTTCTGTGACTCCATGACAACCCCTCCCAGACGCCGCCAGCAGCGCCCGGCGGTGCGAGGTGGGAAAGGCCGGATCCGGTCACGCGGCGCCGCGCCCCGCCCCGCTCCTCTCGCGGCCATGTGGGGGCGGCGGCGCGGGGCCGGGGCCGGGCCCGGGGGCGGCGCGGAGGAGCTGCGGGCGCGGCGGCGGGAGCGGGAAGCAGGTGGGGAACGGGGCCGCGGGAGTGGGGGGGGTGCGGCGGTCGCCCCGGCTCGGAGCTGCGGGGTCAGACCGCGCCGCTCTGCACGCAGCGCTCCGCAAGGCCCGGCGGGAGCAGCAGCTGGTCAGCAAGCGGCTCCTGCGGGAGGACGAGGCGGAGCGCGGGCGGGATGGCGCGGAGCGGGCCTTGCTGGACCCGGTCCCGCAGGAGGAGGTGAGTGCGGGGTGGTCGTAAGGGCGGTAGGACGAGGGGCGGTGGCCTCACGTTGTGGCAGGGTCGGGTTTGGGGTTAGGAACCGTCAGTTCTGTGCACGGGCGGTGATGCGGCGGCTCAGCCGCACGGGGCGGTGCGCCGGGTACGGGACGCGGGCGGTGCGCGCGGTGCGGCTGGATTCGCTGATTTCGGTGGCCTTTTCCAACCTTCGTGCTTCTGGCAGCCGGTGGGGTTCTTTGCGGGCACCCGGGCTGCCCCACGGCCGTCGTTGCCTCCGGGGGTGAATCTTAACCCTGGTGCCGCACCGATGCGGGCAGGTCTCCGAGCTGCTCAGAGGCGTGCAGAGGGGCTCCGAGGATCGGAGAGGGTGGCTGAGACGCCTCCGCCGGGCCCTGCAGAGCAAAGAAACGCAGCAGGAGTTTGTCAGGTGAGCGCAGCCCGGCCCTGCGGGGCCGCCCGTCCCCTCGCACGCAGGCGGCAGCAGCTGGGGATGTGCCCGCAGGCTGGACGGAGCGGTGCGGACGCTGGTCGGGCTGTTCACCTGCAGCCTGCCCGATGTGCAGCTGGAGGCTGCCCGCTGCCTGCACGAGCTGTCCCACTCCAGCGATGCTGCCGTGGCTGAGGCGTGCGTCCCCGTCACCTCCTACCTCCTCACCTACCTCTCAGGACACAGCGTCGAGCTCATGGTAAGGTCCAGGCTCGCATTGCCCTCTCTGGCTCCCAGTAAGCCTCTGGGAGGACTTGTTTTGGCCAGCTGGAGCCTGCTGTGGCTCATATGGAGGTGTTGGTTAAAAGGGACTCTCTGGAAGTCTCTGTTCCAACCTTCTCCGTGGAGCAGGACTGTCCACAGTGCTGGCCCAGCTGTGGCTTTGCCTGGCCCAGTCTTGGAACACATGAGTGTGGAGACCGCTGTCCCAAAAACTTTGTTTCCGTCATGTTTATGCCTTCCAGGTAGCTGCAGGCTGATGGTAAATGCTCCCAAGCTGCCCCTAGGCCAGACAAACCCAGCCCAGCACTCCTGGCCTGCCCTGTAACCCTTTGTCCTGCCTCAGCCTCGATGGCATCACCTCTGGTGATCACCTGGGCTGGTGTGGGGCAGTGCTTAGGTATAACCCAGTCAGCACCAAGCTCAGGGGAACAAAAGCACTCAGCAGCTTTGCCTCATTTGCAGTCAGTTCCTTTGTGTAGCCCTGTGAGCCCCCTGCAGCTACAGGCTGTTTGTGGAAGTGGGGGGCTGTGGGTCTCTGACTACCAACAGCAGGCATGTGGCCAGGCCCCTGATGCTCTCTGGGCCTGGCAGTGCCCACAGAAGCTGTGGCTGGAGGTGGACAGTGAAGCAGCACTGGGAGATCCCTGCAGAGACCACGGCACTGGAGGGGAAGGCTGAGCTCTGCTGGGAATGGGGGTAGCTGGGAGAGGCCAGCAATACCCCTCCGTGTTTGCCCCCCTGGAGCCAGTCCTGCTCAGGTGGAGGGTGGCCAGGCTTGCATGGACGGGATGACCTGCTCTTGGGTGTTTCAGGAGCTGTGCTTGTACACACTGGGCAACCTGGTCGTGGAGAGCGAAGTTGTGAGGAAGAAGCTTCTGCCTCAGGGCATTATTCCAGTGCTGGCTTCCAGCATCCAGGTGTGTGAAGTAGCTCTTCTCATGCCCTTCCCCATAGAGACTTTTTCTTAGGCCTTTCAGACGCTGTCTGAATTACCAGCCCTCCTTGCAGATAAGTAGAGACCCTTTTGCACAGGGCTGTGCTCTTGTGTGTGGAGGTCTCTCCTGGACTCCCTGCACTGCTCTTTGGGGGCTCAGGTTACCACCTGGTGCCCCTCTCCAGATGAACATCTTATGTCCATCATCGCCACGGCCTTCAGATATTCTTTAATGCTGTAGGCTTCTTCCCTCGGTGCAATTTGGGCCCGGCAGGTTTAGACCAGCGCAGTGAGCAGCGCTGCCCCCTGCAGATCTCAGCGTGCAGAGCAGCGCTGCTGCCGTGTTTGGCTCCTGAATCCCTACAACTGCAGCCCCTGTGAATGTGGGGGGGACACAACAGCTCAGCTTAGCTGCAGCCTGTTCACGTGAGGCCTGAGCTGGCGTTAGCACTCCCGGTCTGCTCCTGTGGAAGGCTGTGTCACGAGAAAGCGTTGCCCTTTCGGTGGCATGCAGCTGGTGCCTTGGGCTTCCTGGCTCTGCTGTGGGTGTCACCTGTGTTCTGTTTGGTCACAGTCCCCACACGAGGCTGTGCTGGAAGGTCTGGGTTACGTCTTGTCACAACTCCTCCAAGCCAAGGAAGCCCCCGCAGAGATCATTCCGTAAGTCTGAGCTTCGTACCCTGCACCAGCATTTGCCCTGGGGCCCTGTGTGGTATTTGCGTGCCAGGGACGATGATGCATTTCCCATCCCAGTGATGTTAATAATTCAGAGCAGTCTCTGAGCTATGAAGGCTGTTTTGCAGATCAGGGTGCCAGGCGTGACTCTTTTCCCCCAGCTTAATCTGAGTGGATAGCTCTGGTATTTCACTAAAGGACACTGTTGAACGGGGTAGGCCAGCGGGGAAATTCTGGCTGTATTTCTTTGGAAAAGATCAGCTCTGACAGCCCCCAGTGCCAAAAATGTGACTGCAGCCAAGGTGTTTGAGTGCCCCCAGGCCCTGCCACTGACAGGGGAGCCTTGCATCGTGCCTTGATGATGCTGAGATTGTAGCCCTTGTTCAAGAGCCTCTTCCAGGAGTGTTTTTGGAGCTGCCCAGATGTTATGGCTGATCTGTCCCCATCAGTTATCTGTCCTGCTGGTGCTCCGGCCAGTGCCTCCATTAACTCTGCTGTTCTCATTCCAGGTTGGTTCTGGACTCTGTTCTCCCCCAGCACATGCTTCGACTGGTTTGTTCTGGCCTCAAGTTTGGGACAGGAGCCGCAGTAGAGTTTGCATGGTGCCTCCACTACATTGTTTGTAGGTAAATGCTTTTTTATCTTCATGTTGAGTTCCCTGGGGACAGCTAAGCACAGAAGAACAAAGGCTGTGCTGGCTGAAGCACAAGCCTGTGTGGAGCTCATGGTTGTGGATTAGGATCCTGGATTGCCTCCCCTCACTCCTTTCCCTTTGGAAAGCATTTTCTCTCCCATC